AGCTGCTCACGGTGGTGTCCCCCAGTGCCAGCCTAATGTCTGACATACAAATGTCCCTAACAAATAGCTGTGGAGTGAATGGGAGCCCACCTGACCTCCAGGCAGCATAATCTCACAGGAGAGACAGACTTCAGGGGAAAACAAATCTCCCTGCTTCTTAGGAGTGTGACAGAGGGGGAGGAAGCACCGGGAGCCGCAAGCTGCCAGAGCAAGGCAGGAGGGAGGCTGGGGGCTGGATCGCTCCCTCCGGGGAGGCTCATCTTGGAGGAGCCTTGCCTGTGCCGAGTCACAGGGTAGAAGGAGGGCTTCCACAGGAAACTGGGGAATTTCCAGCTGTTGACATCTTCAGGGTCAGGAACCATGTCTGTGCCTCTCAGGCTTGACCTCACTGAAGTTAGTCAACAGCACAAGGACACGGGGTCCTGGATATCCTGCCAGCTACCTGGGCTCTATAGTTTTGGATTTTCCAAAATCCCATCATTTAAAAGGGTTGGAGATGACCTGCTTTGCAGGTGGAGGGTTAACAAATGCCAGCACACACCTGGCAGGAGATCAAAAGAGCCAGTGGGACTGAGAACTGGTCCCCACAGCAGCCCTCTGCAGCAGATGTCACCATCCTGTCCAAACAGACACGGACACAGCGCCCTTCTAGCCACACGGCCTCCATGTCAGGGTGCTAAAAGCAGCAGGGCCAGCCTCACCAGCTCAGGCTGCAGTCCTCACAGTTCTCTCCTAAAGTCAACTGTGGTGAGTGGGGACCACAATGAAGGCTACCATCCAGAGCTAAGAGTCCACAGACAGCTGGTACAGTAGGATTTTCCAGGTTCAGCAAAAATGATGTACTGCAGTGGTTAGAGGGTGGAGAGGAGGGGAACAGGGGAACACCCAGAAGCTGAAAGCAAGGACGTATTTTATCCAGAAAGCACAGGTGACGTCAAGTAAGCCTGCCTGCCTGGACCAGAGGCTGCCTATACCAGGCAGAGCCCGACCTCCAGACAGCTACACAGACAGTCCAACCACGTCAGTTCTAACTGAGACTGTTAGGTGCAAGGTTCCCTCCAGACATGGCCAGGCTACTTGGTGGCCTGGTAGAGGTGCAGGCAAGGTAGAAGGTTTTGAGTATGAGAAGTCCTTTGTGAAAACTTTAACCCTGGGACAGAATGAGGGTCAAAGCAGACAGACAGCAGAGGCCTCCTCTGTGGTGTGGCCACAGGACACAGCGGGGAGAGGCTGCCACCTCTACAGGAGCCACCAAGAGCAGCCTCAGCTCAGAAACTTGTGCATGTCTCATGCACCCCGTGGCACAGGAACTGTCAACAGCTCTGCCTCAGAAAACAACAGAGAAGCACAGAGGGACTCGGGGCATGGCAAAGGTAGTGCAGGGAGGGCTGGCTCCTGCTTCCTGGGTGTGTCCCCAACCTCTGTGGGACAGGACACAGACGGTGTGGAGCAGCTAACCCCGAGGAGGCACAAGCCGCAGCTCTTCCTGGTCATAACGACTCTGAACAGGGTTAGGACAAGGGCTTCCTAAAGGAAGGGAGGCACCATCACAGGAGCTTGTCCAAGCAGGCCCAGCAACAAGGGCACAAACTCCACCCCGGAGCCAGTGCCGTCCGGCACAGTAAACCATGACCCAGGTGCCCACTGTTCACCACCCCTTGGGGAGCTGACTGCCATGAAGTCACTGGGTCCCACAGGTATGGGTCCTTGTAACCTCTCCAGGCAGCCTGAGGAATGCAGCTGTGAGGCCCACCAGACCCCAGCCACAAGGCTGGGGAGGAACGGCCGGCTCCAAGACTGTGATCCCCAGTGTCTTCTCTGCCACCTCTGTCCCAGGCTCCTGTGACAGACTCACCCTGCTCTTCCATAGAGCAGGTGGGCATCTGGGTTTGGGGGTAGGGACGTCCAGGGGCTGGTCAGAACCAACTGAGGTATACGCAGGGGCAGGATGGCCCCTTGGAGGAAGACTCTCAGGTGGATATTGTGCAGAAAGGTACACAGACATCTAGAGTAAAGACCCCAATTTCCTTTAAAACACATCTGCCCAGCATTACATGCTGCATATGGACAATTTCTACAGCTCTGGACAGGTGTCAAATTAGGCTCAACGACTGTTATAGAGTCTAAATATTTAGAAAATATTATTAAAATGCATAATAAAATTATTAGCCAATTCAATCCTTGGTCTTTCCATCTGCATGAATTCAGGTTTATAGTAGCAAAAGTCTGCTACTCAACCATGCCAGATGTCATTTTCAGATGAGAGAAAGAGAAAGAGACAGAGAGAGGATGTCCCTAATGTTGGTTCTCTTTAACCAAATTTGCCTACAGGGACAGTTGCTCATAAACTTACAATTAGGAAACTTGGGGGACCGATGTGTATGGCACATGCTAGGCACTCCATAAATATTTGTTTGAAGAATTATTAAGCAAATACAGAACAGGATGACAACCTCTTAAAGGAGTCAAGGCTTAAAGAGAAATGCAAAGACATTTCCTGTAGCTTTTTGTGCTAGTGTTTGAAAAGCATGAGAGTTCTGCTGGTCAACATGATCCTGAGAGGCAACAGACACTAGGCCAGGACCACAGGCCAGGGGAAGGCTAAAGGGGTCTGGGAACCAGCTCTTCCACTTTCTATGCACGAACCTGAGTCACCTCCCATCATCTTCCAGGCAGGATGGTGAATCCACGCTGAGTGGGGAGACAAGGGTGACTTGGATCCAGCACAGCATCCGGAAAGTGGTAGCTATGACACTGACCAGATGCAACTGTGTGCCCAGCATGGAGGGGGTTAGTAAGGGCGTCGCAATTCCACCCATTCGAGTTTTCCCGTCTTTATCTGAGCCTCAGAGTGACAGCCTTCAAGAGTGAATTCCTCATTACAGTGCCACTTCTCCCTCTGGTCCTGCTGTCTCATCAGGCCCATCCTGCCCTGCCCTGCCCTGCCCTGCACAGATGCATGCCTAAAGCTGAAGCTCCAAGACTGGGGAAGGGGCATCTCTTGCCTAATGGCAGCTTCCACAGCAGGCAGGCACAGAGCCTCTCCAACCCCTCTTCCCAGAAAGACCAAGTGGCTCCCTGCTCCAGCATCATGGCCAGCCCCTGGAGGTGAGGGCCCAGCCCCAAGCCAGCATGTGAACATCTGCAGTGGCGGGTGAGTATGCTGTGGGCAAAGACCTGGGCTGGTCTCCGGCCCCACCCCTGACTGGCCGGCCTCTGGAGTGGCAGAGGATGCTCCTGTGTGAAGGCTGCCTCACCTGCTAGCTCGCTGCTCTGCTCCCGCAGTGGGCAGGAGAGGAATGCGCCTGGCTTTGTGCGGCGGAGCTCAGTGGGCACAGGGAGATAAGTCCCACCACCCACCTGTCACATCTCTCTGTACCCAACACCGCCAACTGCACATGGACTGCTTTGGTCACCCAGGAGTCATTGTGTCCAGCTCACAGAGCCGGGTGCTACATCTAAAGTTCGTATTTTGTTATGAACTGCTTGGAGACATCTACCAGGCCAGACTCACATCTGTTCAAAGGTAGGAACTTGCCTCAGGTCCCAGAATTCATGGCACAGATAAATGGAGGCTACTTTTTCAGAATCTAGAGAGGCTCTCCAGAATGATCTGACCATCCCCAGAGCCACAGACTCCACGCACAATGAAGATGATTGACGGACACTCGCATCAGAGTTGCCTCTTTCTGAAAGGCCTTCTCTGAGCAAGCCACACCCATGCCTTAGTACCCCTGGGCTTTCCCCATCCTGTCCCTGTGATAAACGTCTAGCCACCATAATAGCCCACTCACATGTCTCCCACTCCATGAACTTTCCTTGACTGCCTCCACCGGGCAGCTGCAGCTCGTGACCCCTAGCACCTGGCACAATGCTCTGCCCTGGCTGCCCTTCTGCCTACCAGACAGGACCACCACACTGAGGCCTTGACTTTGCTGCTTTGCCTGCCTAGTGCCTCATGCAATGCCTGACCTACTTTCAACAAGTGGACCTGCAGTCTCCCCAGAGCATTCCTTCATTCAGCTACATGTCTACTGTGAGCCAGGCACAAGCCAGAAGTCGTAGCAGGCTCCATTACTTTATGAAGTACTTTTTCAGAGCACAGCCCTTCTGAAAACTCACTCAGTCTTTTCAAAACAGCATCTTCATGCCTCACTAGGCTGTTCAATCCAATTTCAGTTTCCCAGACAATCGTGTCCATGTTTTCAGTTGTCAGTCTGTGAAAATGCTTGAGCCCAGCATTGATGGATGGCCATTAGGACTGTCACTAACATGAGTATCAACACTGGCAAGGAACAGGTGATCCAAAGTCAAGAACAACACCAGTTCCAAGAAGACCTTTCCCCACTCAGAATCAATACTCGTTAAGTGGGGCTTCTAAAGCATGGAGTGGTTAAGACAACGCCTGTCAGGGCATTGTGGAGCTACCTGGGGCTCAGGTCCAGTAACTAAACCCTCTTGGCTCCTTCTCAGCACTCAGAAGCCCTAGGCACAGATGCATCCCAGTTCAAGGTAGACTGCTGTTATGGTTTGAATGTGAAGTGTTCCCCAAAAACTCATGTGTGAGACCATGTAAGAAGGTTTGGAGGTGAAATGATTGGTTTGTAGCCTTAAGCTAATCAGCGACTCAATCCCTGATGGGATTAACTGGGTGGTGACTGGAGGCAGGTGAGGTGTGGCTGGAGGAATTGGTTCTTTGGGGGTGTAGCTATGGGGTATATATTTTGTCTCAGGAGTGTGGAATCTCTGCTTCCTGAGTGGGACACAAGACACAGACTGTGAGGACTCTTCATCACGTGAGCCACTTCCCTCTACCACACTCTTCTGTCATGATGCTCTGCCACACCTTGATCCCCAAGGGATGGAGTCAACCTTCTGTGGACTAAGACCTCTGAGACTGTGAGCCTTAAATATACCTTTCCTCCTATACAGTTGTTCTGGTCAGATCTTTGATCACTGAAGCAAAAAAGCGAACTAACAGCCACCATCAAAAGGATATGATCCTCCAGCGGATGTCCAATCTGCTGTTCACCTCCAGGCCTCGGGCTTCCTGCCTCTCCTCTTCCAGCTGCTTCGGATTTGCAAATTGCCCCTTCTCTCCTGGGCATTCCGGGACACTCTCAAAGTTGAACTTGTCCACTTGTATGGCCATTCTAAGAGAAGAGGGAGAACAGCAGAAAATTAATCAGTGGGGCGAGTTCCTCTGCGGGCTGTTAGACAATCAGCACAGGCCAGCGTGAGACAGCATAATGAATCATTATCGTTAGTAATTCATCACAGATTCATTCCAAGAAAAGGAAACCACAGACTCTCAAGGTGGCCCAGCCTGCAGAGCTGGCTCAACACAGGAGCTGAAGACGCATCTGCAGATTCAGAGCCCCAGAAGACCCACATTGCTCCAGATGGAAATTTGAGCTCTGTACAGGGAGGACGCAGAGAGGTCCCAGAATGCTGCTCAGATAGTGGACTCATATCTTAAATTTCTCCATGGACAGTCACAGATAATGTTAGCAACTTCTTGACCATAGGGGTCCCAAAAGCCCACTGGAAGACCCTCTGCATCCCCACCTACTCCATCTCCAGCCAGGTGGATGGCAGCTCCCACACACACAGTGTGCACAGCCCCGCCTCCCCCTCAGCTTTCTGCACCTCAGACCCCACAGACTCCGGCTGGGTCCCTGCTCAAGCCCACGCCCTCCACACAGAACCCCTCGCCACTTGTCCAGCCCTTTGACCTTCTGATGGTTTCCAAAACACACCATTCTCCCTGCCTGGACCTTTGCACCTGCTGCCCTGCCCCTGGGATGTTCTCTGAAGCCTTGAAATAGCTGCACCCTTCCACCTGGGAGGCTGGAGCTTGTGAGCCCTCCCCAAGTCACCCCAGCTGTGCAGCACCCTCTCCCCCTGCTGCAGAACTCCATTAACTTCTAGCAGAGTATGTACCACGAGCTTAAAGACCTCTCTGGGACTGTTACCCGCCTTCAGTTCTAGTGGTTAGCTCCCTGAGGGCAGAGATCCTCTTGGTCTGCTTTCAGCTTCCCCAGCCCAGAATAATGCCTGGCATACTGCTGCGGCTCAGTCAATATATCTGAATAAGTGAAGGAGTGGATTAAAAGCCTTCCAAGACTTCTCTCTTCCTGCTCACCACTCACCCAGGGTCTGGCACCTATGCCCACATCTGGCTGCACCCTGGTTCCCAGCCTAACAGCTGGCCTGTGGGAAGAGGCACCTTCATTCTGGATGCTCTATGACTGTCTATAGCCTGTCCCCACCCTGAACCATCATTTCACAGAGACAGAGGCTGACTCACTGATGTCTGAAACGCCACCTTTTAGTGCATAGGCAGGCAGACAAAAGGCACCAAATAAGTGTGCATTACATGGATGGAAGAAGGGGGTTTTCCACCTGTGAGGATCCTGAAGCTCTGAGTCAGAGTCAAAGATGACAGCATCAGTCAAGTCTACAGACAGCAGCAACAGGGAGGCACTAAGCAACCCAATGAGACTCTGCCTCTAAATAAAACACAAAATAGGGCTGGGATGGGGCTCAGTGGCTGAGTGCCCTTGAGTTCAATCCCTGGTACCCTCCCTCCATCCAAAAAAAAAAAAAAAAGCTCATGAAAGGTGTCTTTCTGTCTTTCTTCCCCATCAGGGGAAGCACAAGAGCATGCAGCACAAAAGAGTCTTGTTTTCTACCCAGAGTGCCTCTTATCTTCGTATCCCAAAGGTAGACTGCAGCAAACCAATGCTGTTTCCAAAGAGAAGGTCAGAGTTATTTCCCATGCTTCACTAAAAAGGCCAATTTAAGTTCAATGCCAGACAACCCCAAGGGACTGAGAATTTTCCTCTTCTGACTGAGTCTGCAAACAGGCCCAGCACCAGGCTGTCTTCCACAGAACAGGGAAGGGAGGGACACCCCAGCAGCAGTAGGCATGGGTCGGAGCACTCTAGGCACTTGTGGCCCTAGGACTAGTGGATGATTATCTAGGAGTATCTTTCCAGCCATTTCTGGTTGTGAATGTCATACTATACCATCCATCTCCAACCTCAACCACACTGTAGCCAGGCATACCCTGAAAGCCCAGGAGGGAAGAAAATAAAACTGAAGAGTGCCTCCTTGGAGCCAAGCCCTGTGCTGGGTGTGCTGTACTGGATTTATCTCATGACCATATACCAGCAGGGGTGGCTGCAATTTGCAGCAGGTGACAGGGCTGAGTGGAAGCCCGGCGTGAGCACCTGCACAACACCCCCACGTGGGCACCACACAGAGGCTGCCTCCAGAACTGACCCTGCTGCATCAGCTCCCTGTGCTTAGGCTGAGCACGCAAAATGAGAGGCTTTATTGCTGGTGCTGTTTTCAGAGCTGCATGGGACACAGACCCACAACTATAGAGCCTGCCCTCCGAAGCCCGCCACCTGCATGAGCGACTGACCATATCCCAAATTCACTACAGGCCTCCTTCTTCCTGGGAGCCCTGAGATGCAGAAAAGGGAGAATCCTGAAGCAGCAGCCCCTTTCCTGCAAGCAATGAGACTGAGATACCAAGGAACTGAGTAGCCAACACAGGGCCACCCAGCGTCCAATCCTAGAGCTCGGATTCCAGCACCCATGGATCAACTCCAAAGCCAAGAATTATCCCCCAAACCACAGAGGAGCATGCCCAGCTCCTCCCTAGCTCTAACCTGCCCCTGCGCCTTCCTGCCCACCAGGAATGGAGGACAGCTCTGTGACTGGCAGCCTGGAAGCTGCAGGAGGTGCTCCTGAAGAGGAACTCGCCACCTGCGGCAAGATGGGTCCTGTGCTATCCAACAGCTTCAAGGCCAGCATCTTTGAGGAACAGCCAGCATTGAGGCTGCCCTAGTAGGGGACCCTGCTCTAAAGCCAGCACAGGACTGGCAATGGCTTCAGTGAGAACTGAAACCGTTGTGTTTGGAGTCCTGTCACATTTAAAGACACCAATGTTACCCGGGAACGGCAAGCCACTTGAAGGACTTGTATAGGACAGTGTGGCAAAACCCAGGTGTGGAAAGCAGGAGGCCAAGTACAGAGCCACCAAGGGCGGGGGGGGGGGGAGCAACCACCTGCTGCCATCACTCCAAAAGGGAAGGAGCTGAGGATGAATGGTGGCAATTTGCCCAGGGCTGCAGGTGCCAAGGCACACTGGGACAGAGGAGGGAGTATGGTTTCAGGGCTAACCACTGGGGCTAGATTCCTAGCTCTCCACAGCTTGCACTGGACCTTGGTCAAGGCCTTCGTTCCCTGAGCACCTCTATGAAATGTGATCATACTGCTTGCACCTAGAGGGACAGCTGAAAGGAGTGCAATGTCTCTGTTCAGTGCCGGCTGCGGGAGCTACCACAATAAGTGCAAGTTGATGGCCAGCTTAGTGCCCAGGGCCACTTTCTGGCTGCCTTCTCAAGTAGGGAGCACTCTTTCATAACAGTGACGGACTCTTGATACCTCACTGAAGCCACAGTCCTCCCCTCTTGCCTCAATGGCCTTTGCAGGAAAGCCCACCTGCCTGCTCCTGCCACTGCAACCTTGTGCACACATCCCTGTTCGCATGTGTTGAGAACTCAGACTGGCATGGGGCAGCGCACATCAGGGAATAGCTGCACAATCTCACACTAGAGAGAGTCCAAAGTAGTTCAAAAACATGGCTCATGCTTTTGGCTAATTGCAGCAAAGCCCCTGGAAATCATTAGCCTGGGAGACCACATGAAGAGGAGGTGGGCCAGCATGCACATGGCCCACAGCCAGCCACTTGCCTCCTTTGGACCTAGGGTATCAGAGTCATGACCGTCCAAGCAGCTCCTACAGGGTGGCAGCGCTGGGTCTTTGCCCAGGACACACTGGTTCTAACAGTTCTTTGGTGGTGTTGTTCCTAACAGCTCTTTCTGTTTCAGGTAAAGAAGATGTTCTGCTGAGGGCTGGGGCTGGTCACCTCCTGTGAATGGCTACCCTGGGACAAGAATTTGGCCTCTGGCTCCCTGTCCTCCCAGGAACAGGAGAATATATTCCAGGACCTCAGAGTAGAGGCATCTTCCCAGTGAGTGGGCAGAGGGAAGAGGAGGCTGGGCCTCTCACAGCCACCTGCTGGCTGTGAGGGGAGCAGTGCCGGGACAGGCCAGGAACATGGGGAACAAGCAGCTCTCCCTCACCTGGTCCTCTTCCATGTGCTCCTAACTCCTCTACACACAACCTGATTCTGTAAATAGGGACGACTACTTACAGGGCCAAGGGTCACCGAGGTGGGGACACTGACACATGTAACACCCTTGGCACTTTGCGATGGTCTCTGTAGGTTCACTGAAGGGACTAGACATGAATCCCAGTGGAGGGGAGGACCAGGCCCTGCGCATGTCTCCCAGGACAGAGCTTCTGTGGATGTTGTAAAATGCATGATCACACTACTCCAGGGCTTCTGGAGGCTCGTCCAGGTGTGTTTTCCTCTAGTCTCCGCACCGCCTTGCTACGTTAAAGTACTTCACGGTGCAGACACCATGGGTCAGTTTTCATTTGCTGGGATAAATAAACCCTCATCTGTAAGATCCTGTGTAGTATGAGTGAGAGGGTGCTGGAAGGCCGGAAATGCATGCACTGTTCCTGGGTGCACTGGCGGCAGCCTTCCCACCCCCTGGCCTGCTGTGGCCTATGCAGCTGCAGGACTGGTTTCTAAATCTGCCTGGGTCCATCTGACCCTGCAGGACACTGAGAACAGGGAAGACTCCCCCCCCCCCCCGCCGTCCCCCTGCCCCGAGCCTGTGCTGAGAGAGCCCATACACACACAGTCTTGTCTATGCTTATGTTGAGCCTATGATCCCACCCTCACTTGACAGAGGGGTAAATGGAGCTCAAGAGCATCCACGGAACCCAGCATGGTCTCTGGAGTGCAGTGAGACAGCAGGCAGGAGCTCAGGCCCCACAGAGCACCCGAGCTCGGGGGCCCACCTGGCCCTCCCTCCGGGGCTTCCCTGAGTCCCCTGCCACCCCTGCCCTGCAAGCCCACTGGAAGGACTCTGTAGCCAGCCCTTACTGACCCTCACTCCTGGTATCCAGGCTTATTGGCTTAAGGTTGAGGGCCACATCTCAGTTACTTTAGTCTCCGCAGCCCGGAGCTGGCTCTATACATTTGTTAAGAGAATGAATGACA